TCACCGATACTATTCAAGCAACACTCTGCCTTCATAATATGGATCATAGTTTTTTAAATAAATAATTAAATATTTTTAAAGATAAACACTATTCAATACTGTGAAATTTTATTATTTTGAATATATTTTAAAGTCTTTTTTTTTAAGATGAGCATTTAAATTTTTAAAAGGGAAGAATACTACTTTCATTATTCACGAAAATATTGCTTTAAGAGATGTGAATTGAAATTTATGTTTTGGCCAGATTTTGATTTGGAATTAAGTTGAAAATTGAAAAAAAATATTTTTTGCCTTGGAAAAGAAAAGAAAATGCCAGCTGCGCTGATGAAAAAAAAAAAAAGCCAGAACTGCCTTACATATGTTAAAAATATATCTGAACCGCCAGAAATTGTGATTTTCACGCGACCATCTATTTATTAGATCGTAGTTAAAATAAGTGAAAAAAAACAGAAAAAAAAAAAATAACCAGCTGCTTATAAAAACACCAGAACCGCCGTATATTAGAAAAACAAAATGTCAGGACCGCCAAAGATGTGATTTTCACGCGACCCTCTGTTTCTACTTTCTATTTAGAACTGATTCAGGGCACCGACAACAACAGGCACCACCATTAAAACTTGTGATTTTCGCGCGCCCTGCAACCCCAAAGCCCATGTCTTTACGCCAACATCGAGGGGAGAAGAGGAAGGAGCACACGATGGCTCAGGTGCAGCCAATCGAACACGTGTAATGTTTCAGCCGCGAGAATTTCTTGGGTATGAAATTTTCACCTTTATGACTTCTAACTGAGATTGACTTGTTTGTTTGTTATGACTTGCGCAATGAATTAGATTTGCGCCCTATTCCTCTGCCGGCGAGGTCTAAGGACGAGTCCTTTCAATTCTTTAAACTTTATCACCTCGCAAAAGAAGAGCTTTACTTTCTCTCCCTTTTTTGTTTCAGTTTACATAATAGTCAATTACTTGAAGTTTCCTATTTGGTTTCCTCGGATGTGTCGGGAGACCTTTTGTGAAGAGGTTTGGGAGCCTGTGGATATATTAACCAAACTAAATGAGATGTCTGGATTTCCTCCTGAAGAAGCAATTGAACTCTTTTGAGGCTAGTCAAATTCCCTTTCATCTCTGGCATAATGTCCTAATGTGCGCAGTATCAAAGCGCCAAGAGAGAGAAATATTGCTTATGTTTGTGATGTACATTCAGGAAATTATATTTTGAACATCATGTTATGTGCGAAATCGTCAACAAGAGGCCCACATTGATGTCAACCAGGTACAGTTTTTTTTTTTTTTTATATGGATTGGTGACTTGCTGTTTCTCTACTCCCCCCCCCCCCTTTTTGTTTCTTTGATAATATTTCTTTACGCATTTTGCGTATGCTATCAATATTTTCTTTTTTCCTTCTCTTTTTTCCCCCTCCCCTTTTTTTGTGGCATTGCTTACTTATGTATCTTACCCTGCCCTCTTATTTTTGTTTCGACTAACTCTTTGTTTTTGTTCTCAGGCTTTGATATGCTAAATTCTTGCCTTTTGATTTTGTTTCTAGACTTCTGATATTTTTATTATGAAGTATTGGACATTCCTCTACCAGAACTGCAAGGCCTAAAATCTCTTAAAATTGCTTTTCATCAAGGATGAAGTGAGTATTGGTATTAGTTCCACCCACATATCATATAGTTGTGCAGTTGTGGCTATATTAAGTCTTGTGCTTTTAACAGATTTATCATTTATCATGTATAAATCTTTGAAATTGACTTTGATTGATAGGGTCCTTCTCTTCATCAGCTTAGATTTGGATGTTGTGTTTTGAGTCCTCCATGCAGATATAGATGGTGAGGAGGTTATTCATGACGTTCGATGGATTATGCTGCAAAGAATTAAAATTCTAAAGGAATTGAAGAGCAGTAATATGGCTACCTTAGAGGTGGGGCTGAAATGTGGAAGTAAGGTTGTTCACTGGCCCAATTATCCTAGTTGGCTCGATCCTGCCCATGACCATCACGGATACGCATGCTAACATCTTTTGGCAATACTGGAAGGGAATCAGTACATAAAGGTCAATATATGTTGGAGTAAATAAAGGTCAGTCAGAACACAAAGGGAATCAATACGCTACTTATGTGCACTAAAGGTACACATTGGTAATTTATTTCGTACTGAATTGTCTTCGCTAACTTTTTTGCCATTAGTGGAGGGGAATTAGTACAATGCTTCTTTGAGGCTTATCTGGGAGTACATAAAGGTGAATCAGCTCGAGGTGACTGTTATGATAATTACTGATCAATTTGGTACATCTTCTAACTGATGTGGATCTTTGAGTTAACAAGGCCCGTTTCAGATTTATGCATTGCCGCTCTTTTATATTATTTTATTTATGTGTTTTTTATAATTTTTTTTCCTATTTGTTGTGCCTTTCTTGACTTTTGCATCAGTGTCTGGTTTTAATTCTGTTTTGCGTTTATTCATTTCTATTTCACCATGGTCAAACTTTGAAAGAGGCCTGGAATGTCACCTTGGTATATTTTCTTTATTTTGAAAGTAATTGAAACTTGTTTAGTGGTTACTGTAATAATCAGGGATATAAATAGCTTGGTTTTTTAGAGTGAACAGAGAAACTCAGGGGTGAGTTAAATTTCTTCATATTTACTATTTTTGTTCGATTTTTTTTTTAACTCCATTCATTATTTTGAATGTCTATCTGTAGGTGATTATTGGTGGTTATTATGAATTTGCTTTTAAGGTATTGCAGTAACCTTATTTTTTGTCTCAGTTTGTTACTTTTAGATATCAACCTTCACTGAATTGTGCTACTTCCTATGAGCCATCCTTTTTAGCAGAGCATACAAGAAGTTATCAACTATTTCAGCTGGAGAGAAAAGTCAGAAAGCAGTATGAATGAAAAAAGATCGGAGACCAATCATTTCACTTCATCAGTATTAGTAATTCTGGAAGTGCTTGGGGAGTACTACCAAATTGTTTGCCCTTTGATTTAAATCCAGTTTTCTATAACTTCTGCTGTGAGCTAAATGCTTATATTTCTGTACCTGTTCAATAACCAACGTTTTTTCAAAAATAAAAATTGAAATGGGAAAACAGTGAGGAAGAAAAGTCTCGAAAGCAAAAGAAACACAATGTTAGTTGTGACAGCGGAATTTTTCAATTCCTTTCCTTTTAGAATTTATATTCTGTCCGTTTGTTACAAATTCCAATTTGAGTATAAATTTTCTAAGCAATAATATTCCTTACTTGCTTGGATTTGAGTGATATCTATGAAAATCGGATGTGTGGCTTCTTAGAAAAATGACAGCGTTTTGATTTTTAATAGATGGTTTTGCTTTGGGATTTGATCATGCTTTTTACTGGACTCATACAAGGCTCAATCACAATTATATAATTTGATTCCTAATCTAAAAATGCAGAAATACACGTGTCATCCATTGCTACATCTGAATGCTTGCATCGAAATGTGGGTAAATTGAGGCTAATTATGAAGGCTTTAAATTGACATTCAAAGCTACAGTAATATTCCTTACATGCATTGCTTGAGAGCTATCTAACAAAATCAGATATGCCTTGTTATCGAAATGACGGTACTTTTAATTTTATGCAGATGGCTTTACTTTGGGATTTGATCATGTTTTTTAATGCACATATTCAAGGCTTAATTATGATTATATGATTTGATGTCTAATCTAAATGAGAAGAACTATATTTCCTTTCAACTTAGATTATCAGCTACTATGCTACTGCTTGTAGCCTGCCCAAAATTCATGTGGGTATTCATTGATTGCATCATCTGAAAGCTTGCATGGAAATGTGGGTAAATTTCTGATATGTGGCTTCTTAGACAAATGACAATATTTTTATTTTCAATAGGTGGTTGTGGTTTTTAGTTTGACTATGCTTCTTAATGCACTATTGTAAGGCTCAATGACTATTATATGATTTGATACCTAATTTAAATGTGCAAAAATATAATTTTAGGGGGATTAGTATATTTTCTGGCTCATACTATCTGTGCTTCTGCTGCTGCCTGTAGTCCCCCAGGAAAATAACATGTATCATTTATTGCGTCATCTGAAAGCTTGTTCGAAAATGTGGGTATATTAAGGTTTATTTTCAAGGCTTGAAATTGACGTGTAGGGCTGGAATAATATTCCTTACATGCATAGCTTTAGTGCTATCTATCAAAATCCAATGTGGCTTCTTAGACAAATGATAGTGTTTTTATTTTCAATAGATGGTTGTGGTTTTGGATTTGATTATGCTTCTTAAGCAATGACTATTATATGATTTGATTCATAATCTAAATGTGCAAAAATATATTTTTAGGGGGATTAGTTATTTCTTTCAGCTTATATATACTTGTGCTTGTAGTCCCTAAAAAACTGCTACATGTATCATTCATTGCTTCATCTGAATGCTTGTATCGAAATGTGGTTAAATTGGTGCTAATTTTGAAGGCTTTAAATTGCCATATAGTCCTACAATAATATTCCTCACATGCATGGCTTAAGTGTGTTACATATCAACATTGGATATGACCTATTATCGTAATGATGGTACTTTAATTTTATATTGACGGCCTTGCTTTGGGATTTGATCATGATTTTAATGCAGATATTCAAAGCTTAATGACAACTATATGATTTGATGCTTAATCTAAACGTGTTTAAATATATTTTTAGGGGGATTACTAATTCCTTTTAGCTTATGCTACTTGTGCCTATGCTGATTCTTGTATTCGCCCCTTAAAAAATTGCAAATTGAATGCCTCATTTGAATGCTTGTATCGAAGTGTGGTTAAATTGAGGCTGATTATGGAGGCTTTAAATTGGCATACAGAGCTGCAACAGTATTCCTTGCATGCATTGCATGTGGCTTGTTAGAAATGACGGAACTTTGATTTTATATAGATGCATTTTGGTTTGGGATTATATCATGCTTCTTACTGCACTTGTACAGAAATATATCATGCTTCTTACTGCCCCAAAAAGTTGCTACATGTATCATTCATTGCTTCTTCTGAAAGCTTGGATGGAAATATGAGTAAATTGAGGCTTGTTTTGGAGGCTTGAAATTGACATGCAGAGCTGCAATGCTTGAGTGATATCTATAAAAATATGATGCGTGACGTCCTAGGGAAATGACAGTATTTTTACTTTAAATAGATGGTGGTTGTTTTGTATTTGATCATGCTTTTTAATACACTCATATGGCTTGATGACAATTATATGATCTGATGCCTGATCTAATATGTTTTCCTTTCAACTTAAAGAGTACCCGTGCCTATTCTGCTTGTATTCCCCAAAAAATTGCTGAATTCTTGAATCTAAATGTTGGTAAGTTGAGCCTGATTACAGTGGATTAAATTAAAAAGACTCGCCTTGCCTATGCTGCTGCTTGTATTCCAAAAAATAAAAAATAAAAAATAAAATCTACATCTAAAATTGATTGCCTCATCTGAATGCTTAAATCAAACTGTGGGTTAATTGAGGCTGGTTTTGGAGGCTTTAAATTGGCATGCAGATCTACAATAACATTCCTTCCATGCGTTACTTGAGTGCTACCAATCAAAATCCAATGTGGCTTGTTAGAAATGATAGTGCTTTGATTCTATTAAAGCTCTGCAAATCACGTAACCCCATTCCCCCCCCCCCCCCCGCCCTGGGCTTAGTAATCACATCCCACCTCTTCCAATGGATCCCAGTAGTACCATCACCCTTACTATCCCACCAAAAATTAGAGACCAATCTATCAATTTCCATACGTGTCTTCTTGGGAAAAGAAAAACATGTCATTGGCTAACTTGGAATTAAATTAGCAACAGCTTTAATCAATACTTATCTTCCTGCAGAAGTCAACACTTTTTGCTTCCACCCTTCGCAATTTCATTCCAATTTCATCTCTGACAAATGCAAGTGCCTTTGTCTTTGACCTACCTATAATCACAGGTAAACCAAGATAATATTCCCTGGTTGATCAGTGGAATGAATGCCCAAAACTGCTTCCACTTCCTCTCTAATGTGCTAAGGGGTATTTGCAGACAAAATATACAGGATTTGTCAAAGTTCACCTTCTGACCTGAGGCAGTACGACAGGTTTCTAGAATTTTCTTCAAAACTAAATCATTCTCCTTACTACCTTTAATGAAAAATAAATCATCATCTGGAAGCAAAAAAAAAAAAAAAAAGAGCAAAAACAATGAGATACCATGGGAGCCCTTCTAGCTAACTTCACTCCCTTCAATTTCTACCTATGCGATCTTGCACCATAACCGCTGCATAAGCCATTTAACCCAATCTTCAGAAAATCCCAGTCTCAACATTATGGCCTCCAAAAATTCCCATTCAACACTATTATATGCTTTATTTATATCAGTCTTTAAAGCAAATTTCCAATTATTCCCCGTTTTCTTATGGCAGAATGATTAAGAGGTTTGAAAATAATCAATTAATTCAAATTAGGTCTTAAATGTCAAACTCTAAAAATTTACAATTTAATCTCTCAATTGTTTAATTACGTTGTGATGAATTTGTAATTTATTTTTTAAATTTTAACATGGTTGAAAAATAAAAAAATTTACTTTTCCTGTTAAAATTGAAAATACAAATTATAAATTCATCACAAATTGTAAAATTGAGAGATTTGAGTTGTAAATTTTTAAAGTTTGACATTTGAGATCTAACTTAAATTAATTAGTTCTTTTAGGCCCCTTCTATCATTCTTCCTTTTTTAATTCCTCAAATAATGACAGGCCTCATGGCCAGTCACCACATTATCATTAATAAGTCTGCTAGCTATAAAAGCCCTCTAATTGGGGGAAATTATTTTGTTCATCAACCATCTCATCCTATTGATCAATATCTTGGCAACAATTTTATAGGCAGTATTACACAGGCCTATAAGTCTAAAATAACCTTCACTTTTAGGCTTATCTATTTTAGGGATTAGCACAATATCGGTGGCATTAATAAGATCAATACCCTCTTTATTCTGAAAGAAATAATCAAACACCAACTTACAGATTTCCTGCTTGACTTCATTCCAAGAAGCTTGAAAGAACAAAGCTGAACACCTGTCATTAGAGCTGAGGCAAATCATCTTATTTTATTTATTATTTTCATTATTACATTAATCATTAAAATTTGAAGAAAACCAAGATAAATCAGATTTTTTTAAAGATATACCAGAATTATTGATTAATAACATGTCAGTTATACAAATTAATCATAACGCACTGTTTATTTATTTATTTTTTGTTTCTTAAAATATATCCTTACAACTGACAGTTATGAGATTAATCCCTTAAGAAATTTGAGTATCATTCAAGAAATTGTTCTCCCCCAAGTGATGCTTTTTATACTTACATCCAGAAATTGAATTTTGAAATGATGTTTAAGGGGTTAGATCACTAATGCACTGTTTATTTAATTCTTCTTTATTTTACAGAATTATATAAGTCGAACATGCGGTGAAAATCAAATGTTTATCCCCCCCTTCTTGGTATATATAATCGCGATGAAACAAATGGAGAGGGAAAATACAAGGATGAAATTTTATACAGAATACTTTGGAAGCTTGAATGATTAGTCAACAATTCTGATCAATCATGTAGCATGGCGTGAAGAAGGTCTGTGGAGTCATTGCATGAAGACTACTGTATAATTCACAGTAAAATATGTGAATTATCGATTATTGCTTTTAAAGTAGAAAGTGGACTACTTGTCATGAGAGAAAAAGTTATATATAAAATCTTAATCGTAAAAAGAATTATGCTAAATGTTGTAAGAAATTATTAATACTTTCATGGTTCAGAATTATTTTAAATTTGTACGATTGTTGATATTAAATTAAGAATTTTTAGATCCTATAAATTCAGTAGTTGTTTAAAATTGTAAATTTTCTAAATATGGTAATAGCTTTGTTAAGGACTAATGCATACCTTATCAAAAATATTATTAAATTTAAATTATATAATATATTTTTGTTGGATTGTTTTGAAACTTTTTTTCCCTTTTTACTTGTTTTAGTAAAAAGAATCTTTATTCAATTTAAAAGGATTAATGTCAACTTCCTTCTAAGTTGTCATAGTAAAATTTTGTGTGATTTGTTCGTGAGGCTTTTGGAGATGTAGCCTATATCATTGGATCAAATCAATCAAACAGTCTGGCATTTACTATTATATTTTGCATTATGGTTGGTTATTGTATTTGTTAATAATATATCTTTATATATCAATTATAAATCCTTTGTGTAT